AAAAAGGCGTGTGGAAAAAAAAAAATGAACGCCGGTTCCATGCCCCTGCCCCCAGCTGACTCCCGGCGAGGGCCGGGAACGTGCTCGTACCAGCAGAGCAAGGGCGCGGAGGAAAAACTCCGTCTAGTATTTCTGGTGTCGCTGTCATTATTTTCTTATACTTCCTTGACTCCGCGTGATGCCCGATAGCCGATAGCGAATGTTACTCGTGACCGGAGGTGTAATGATTGCTTGTGAACCGACCCCCATGCCCTTAACCCTAAAATATACCTCGGGATACAACGAAAAGTATAGCCCTTTGTCGACGAATTTGGGTTCCGGCAGACGGCAGGTGTAACTGAATGGAAAACTGCCCTTTGGAATGAGGCTGGCGTCGCCCCTGACGGCCTGCAAGGTATCCAGTCTGACGGTCGCGTATGGTTCCGTGACCACGCGCTTGAACCCTCATCGGCCATTTCAGAAACCTAAAAATGGGTGTGGGTGTGGAGGGTTCATGGTTCTGGGTCGAACAGTCTTGAAACCCGCGGCTTGGTGTTGCTTGGCACCCCCTTCTGTCCGCCGCACTTCATCGCCAATCACCTCCAGTCGTTGAGTGCCCGACACAGAGAACTCTTGCACATGTTGCCGCACATTAATGACACGCAGGTCGCATGGCTGTTGCTGTTACACACCGCGGCCCCGCGAGCCGAGTTTGCGTTGCCTACGCTTGCGCCCGGGCTCCCGCGTGAGTTTGCGATGCACGTGATGCGGCTGTGCTCGACACCTCATTGCATTGCTCTGTGCTGAAGAGCGTTCCTCGCTTCCACTTGCTGCCTCCCATGTTGCACAACTTGCCTTGCGTCATGGCGGCCATGGCTTGCGTAGTGCTGCCCTGCACGCGCCAGCTGCCTTTTGGGCGTCGGGGGCTGATGCATTCACTGTTCTGTCCGCTCGGGGGGCACCCTTGCTACAAGATACCGGGAACCTCCGTGCCGGCACTCCGATTCGGGACTTGCTCGAAGCCACTGACGTGCTGGTCGCCTCCGGCTTCCGCGCCCCCCTTTGAGCTGACTTGCCCCAGCATGCCCCTGTGCAGCCAGCCGACGACGCTGAATCAGAGGTCGCCTTGTGTGGCTGGAAGCGCCCTGCCTCTCGACTCCTTGATGACTTTGCTCTCGGTGAACCTCGCCGCAGTGTTGGCGCTGCCGAGCTCGCACTCTTGGACTCTCAGTCGGGCGCATTTGCAGCCAGGGTTCTGACGGTGCGTCCTACTGTTCCTAAGCTCGCAGTCGGCTCGGCTCCTTTCCGCATCTTACTGCACCGCCGGCTCGCAGCTTGCCCCCGGTCCGGCACTTTACGTCAGCGAGGTGGGCCGCTTGAACGGGCCGCTGCGCGCGTCTGCCGCGAAACCGGCGCAGCTGTTGCTACAAATGTGCTGGTCCGCGACCTGAACCTCCAAGCTGAGGTCATTGCTAATGGACTTCCTTTGTAGGGTGGCTCACAGCTCGCAGTTGACACCACTCAGCTGGGGCACTCCGCCGCAGCAGTGGGGCCACCGCCGGCGCAGCCCTTGCAGATGCCCGCCGAAGCAAGGAACGCACCTACCCTGAGTTCGGGCGGGCGTCGCGGTGCCGCTTGGTCGTTCTCGGCATGGAGGTTGGCGGACGCTGGAGTGCTGAAGCTGTTGGCGGTTGCCGCAGCTAGGTCAGGTAGGTCCTTCGCTGCCAGCTTGCTCTCCTTGCGAATCTCCAATACCGCCAGTGTTGATGGCGAGCCGCCTTTGCTCCGCGACGTCCTCGCTGACTCCGCCGAGTCACCTCCACTTGCCTCCCGCCTGGCGTTGTGTGTGCGTGTGAAGATCTGAGCCGAAGGGCGTGTATGACAACCGTCCATCGCAAACACACTGTGGCAATCGCTTATGCCCTTCGTAGTCTTTCCGGCCGTTGATTGCGCGAACGATGACAAATAAAACTCGTTGTATGTGTTATGAGAGACTGCTAGACAACTGCACGGGCGGCGTGCTGTTTACTGTGCTACGTGGTGGAAATGTGTAACTACTTTTGCGGGTGACGGTCCGATATAAAAAAACGTGCATGCCCGAAGCTGCAGGGATGGTCCTGTGTCAGACATGTGGCTCAACAGAACCGGGTATCAGTGAACAGCCGGCTGAAGGTTCTCCTTGTTGTTTGTCAACCACACCACTTCCGATCAATAAACCCTTGATGTGCCAGGCCCGTCAGGCCTACTGTCGTCGAAGCGGCCTGTGCGCACGCGAATTGTTTGGTGCATGCCGGATTTGTTGTTCAAGCAGCTATGCAAATGCGCTTCCAGGCCGATGTGGTATGCCAACGAGCCGATGTCCCGCATCGTCTGATCCACCCAAGCACCTGGTTAAGACACTTGGTTCGCTTCGTGATGAGCTCGATGTTTTCGGAATGGCTTTTCAGCGATTCTTCGGTGCTTGCGACCGTGTCAGGACGAAACTATGCAAACATTTTACAAAAGGGTATTGTCGGTACGAGGACCTGGGCGAAACATGCACCATGAAGACTGTGAAGGGATTCATTGCGGTTTCTCTCAATTTCTGCCAGGGCAATTGCACTTTTGCTCATCAGTTGGACGAGCTGGTGTACCGGCCCGATCTTACGCAACTGGTCTTTCAAAGCACATTGGCCGAGTTTTCGAACATGCACCTGTGGACATGGGGGGTGTTCCGTAAGGAAAACAAAGTGGACCGGTCCTCAGTGTGCACGGTTCTTTCGTGGATATGTAGTTTGATGAGACGTGCCTGTTGTGCCATCTGGAGGTGCGCACGGTTCTTGTCCGGCGCCTGCAATGTCAAAAATTGCAGCTTCGCCCACAGTGTCGCTGAACTCCGGCATGTGGATCCTGCCCGTATGGCGACAACAGAACAGGAGCGATCTTGCAGTGTGATGCACCCGGCAGACTCGGCAGAGATTGGTAATGTGGAGCCGTACCGATGAATTCGCCCGTGGTGACGCAGTATTTACCACTGGCAGCAAAAAAGGCACTCCTAACCGCCCTGAACTTGCAAGGAGGGGCAGAGCTCGGCATCGTGCGAATTTAATGCCCCCGAGGGGCGTCGGAGTTCTGGTTGCATGTGATGCCATTGCGCAGTTTGCACGGCTGTTCGGCATCACGTTCATCATTGCAGCTCCGGTGGTTCTCAGGTTGCGGGAGGCTTTAGCTGTGGAGATGTCTCCACTCCCAGCCGCTTGGTTGCTAAGCAAGCTTATATAGTTGCTAGAACCAGCGAACCTGCCGGTGTACTTAGTTGCAGAGGTGGCAACAATGCCGACACCTCCGCAGCATTGGTTTGAAAGGCAATTCGTGAGTGCATTTGTGAGTTGCTTGTTTGCGTTGTGCAAGCTTGGCAAATGAACAGGCCAGAAAAGGCGACGACGGTTCGAAGCTCAGTGCTTGTAGGTTTGAGTGCGGCTTCGTTTCCATGTTTCTTTTTATGATTTGACGCCACGGCCTCCAAGTAAAGGGGGGCGCTGTGTTCATGTGAAAAACACTTCTGACTTTGTGTGGCACGTGGAGTTCTGCATCTTACATCCGACGGGCTATGGGGAGATGTTGTAACACAGCCCTAGATATCCGATTCTGGTTGAACTTGTCCTGGACTTCAGCGAAGACGGCTCTCTTTGCAGTTCAGGCGACGCCGCCCCTCCTTCAAGATGACGGAAATGGCGAAGATGCGGCCCGCGAGGGTTTCAACGTTCGTGCCAGGTGGGTTGGCTGAAATGTAGAAACGTTTTGTTCGGAATGTGGTGGTGGTGGTGGTGGTGGCGGCATGTACGGCAACATGCGTGCTCAGGTGCAGGTGGACATCCGTGTGCATCCACCTGTTACTGTGGAAACGACGTCGGCTGTTACGGCATGGCCGTATCCTTCTTTCCAGATCCCGGCAGAAGCTGTTGCGCAAAGAAGAAGTGGACGCTTGGAACACTTCGTACGAAGACGAGTCTTGAGAGGGATGCTTGTAAACAGCAGCCAGTAGCCAGGAAACCCAAAGCCTCGCACGTTGTCGCAGTGGAGCAAGGTGTGTTCAATCATCGGATAGCTTCCCGGTGTGAAGGGCGTGAAGGGTTGCCGTAAGAGAGTGTAATGCAGCCAGGCGCCTCGGGAGCAGCATGCCTTGCAAAGTTGTTGGAGCTCATCCCATTCTTTGCTGATGTTCCTGATGCGAGATTCGAGAGAATGCGAGGAAGCAGTTCTGACGTGTTGCCAGCCGAGTCAAAATCATCGAACGGAATACGCCAAGAGAACGGCAACTCTGCTCCATGTCGACACTTGTTTTTGCCCACGGGAAAGAACGGGATCTTGGTGAGGAGCACTGACTCGTCTGCACTTATTCACAAGCCCAACTGAAAACAGACATGTCACCAGCCTCGAGTCAACAAGGGCATACTCAATTATTCTCGTAGGCACTCATAAGCCAAGCATACGCCATAGATGGGTCTTGGCTACCCCAGCTCTCTTTTGCTTTCGCTGGTGTTCGTGGTCTGCTTGGCCTCGTCGCAAGCTCGAAAGACCTGTAGCCTGCTTGGTTGTGTCTGAGCTTGTCCACCCTTTCCGGTGATGTTCAGGCCCATGGAAGCCGGCTGAGCGAGCAGAAGTTTCCAGGCTTTTAGGGTCTCGTGGTGAGGCTCTGCCTCTCCGGGCTGTCCTGGCTCGAAATCGTGCGACTCCTGGTTTGCCACAAGGGCTCGGATCCGCCAGGGCTCGGACGGTGCCGCTTTTGCCGATTGCAGGAATTGTGGCTTCTGTTCATGGTGTGTGCGTATGTGTATCGGTGTGTCAATCTGTGCACGCCGTGCCTGCTCGGTTGTTCGTCGATTGCGTGTTCGTTTGTTCGTTCGTTTGTTTGTTTGTTTGTTTGTTTGTTGGTATGTTCGGGCAACTGTGAAGCTCAGCGTCGACTTTTGATTCAGTCGCAGTTGGTGGACAAGGTCACATACAAGCCTTGCGTGCTACGGCCACGATCCTGATTAACATGTCTCTAGCAACTTGTCTGAGGATGAGGTGTCATCCATGCTCCTGGACGACTTCACCTGGCTTCCGGAGTTCGTGGCTTTTGCACACCGGTGCAGCAGGCCTGCCCGTTTTACAACAAGTTCTGCGGGCAGTGCATTACAATGCCGCCGGTTCCCTGTGAGGTTGTTAGCGGAGCGCATGGAAGTACCAGTGGAGCAGAGCGCCGGCACAACGCAACCCATTTGAATGTCTTAGGTGAGTTTCAGGCTTCCTTTTTTTGGATCAAAGCCAGAATTCCGGTGATGTGTGTAGTGCTGCACTGCGCCCTACCGGCAGCGTGAGTCTGTGCATGTACTGGCAAGAACACGCACCCGAATTTGGTGCCATGCTGAGCGATGCCCACCGTGGATCTCATGGATGCTCGCAATGCTACAGCAAGTTGGCATGCGGTTTACTTTGCCGGTCCCAGCCGGAAAAAGCCTGTTGTGGAGCTTCAGAGCTGCGATTTTTAATCTGCGCCGGCACCGGGCCATACTTGGGAATCAGCCGCTTCGGCTGGTTCGTAGGATGGTCACCCGCAGGTGGTTGAGATAAGCTCTTCGCCAAAACGGGTTCGTAAGTATACATGGGAACACCGGTGACCGTCTCTACTTCCCGGAATGCGTCTGGTGTGCCCGGGCACACGTGTCGGGTCGGGTGAGCCGCGAATTCTCGCGATTCTCCGTAATTTACGAAGCCTACTCATCCCAATCTATTCTTCGGTGCTCAGTCTCCTCCCGACAAAGCGTTTGTTGAACATAGCATAGTCCACGAATGATGTTCACGAGACCAAGTAGGGTCTTGAATTCGGTGCAGGAGCTGCTTCCTTCTTTGCCGCCGCTCATTTTCGGAGCCATGCATTCGCACATGGAGACCACCCCGAACTTTGGGGCGGTGCTTTGTAATGCAGGGAAGAAGCTGAACAGACTTCCTTTACTTTTCGGGCATCGCTCCTCGAAAAAGTCCGGCCTTCATCCTTGAGCAAAGCAGACAGTACAAATTGTGTCGTGATTGAAGAGAAGGCATAGATTTGTGGCCTGCCGCAGCCCTATGACGAACACAAGTTGAGTTGTTATTCGAGTTGGAAGTCGGCCAACCATGATGATGGAGCCAGTGACCCGGCTTCCGTCCAGTACTGCTGCCTCATACCCAGCTGGCAATGTCAGGATTATCTCGAGTTCCTATGCAACGCCACGCATGCATACATATCAGCCGAGAGTGGTGCCGTTCCCTGCCGTGCCAACTGGTTCCATCTACGCACAAGGACTCCCTCCCGCTCAGGGCTGTTGGGTGGCTACAGGTCAGGCGGCCGCCACCAGGTTGCAGCAGCCCGAGCTTGTCTCAAGCCCCTCATTGCCGCCCGTGCAGTCGGCAGACTATACAGCGCAATGTGGGGCTCCTTCTCAATGGCATTCTTCTCATGCAGTGTCGCCTTTGACGATGGGTTCGCCAGTTGCGGCAACACCAGCAATCCCATCGGGCAGCCCGTTGTCATTAGGATCGATGGGCCCATCTTTGCCCGCCCCCTGCAGCTGTCGGTCTTCAGCTGACGCACGCGGCCAGTCCCCGGCCATCTTGCCAAAACCGGAGGACGCAGCGCAGCCAGCAGCCTCTCACGATGTACATGCCTCTGGCGAGGCTGTGGCCAACTTTCAACTGCCGCAGACATCGCAGCACAAGAAGAAGAAGGGCAAAGCTCAGAAAGACAAGAAGCGCTGCGCATGTTGCAACTAGGCTGACAAACATCTTTGCCATTGGGCTTGGGGATGCTTGGCGGCCCCTCTTCCTGCAGCAATGTCTGCTTGGAAATGATCTGAGCCTCAGCTTCGATAGATGCAAAAGAAGGCAACATGCAACATGGAGGGTTGTGAGGTCTGTTTCACATCGCATTCAGCATTGAGAACTGAAAACATGTGTCGCTTGGTTGCATCATGCCCGCTGTCGCCTGTTGTGCAGCAGGACTGATAGAGAAGGGATGGTAGATTTTGGAAGCTGCTGGCTGGGAACTCTTGCTCATGGCGTTGCCAACAACACAGGTCGGCGCACAAACCGTTGCTGCTCTGCCGACGCAGGTTGCAGGATCGGTCGCGCCCGGTGTGCAGACGGCTCCAGCCATCCAGTACGGAACACCTGCTCCGATCGTGTATCAAACTGCAAGCATGCCGACCACTAGCATGCCGACCACGTACACCGGCGGTGTGCCGCTTGCCTCGCTCCCAACATCGACTTGGATCCAGCCGACACTCCCGACAGGTACACAGATGCCTCCAGCTGCTTCCATGCCCATGCCGACGAGACTCCCAGCAACGCAATATGTATACCCTGCGGGCTCATACCCTGTCACTTCGGCACCGGCATACACCATGCCCGCAAGCATGCCGACAACCATTGTGGCTAATCCAGTGGCCAGCACACAAATGGCACAAATGCCACAGCCGTTGCCCGCCGCCGTCGATCCCAGTGCCGTTCAGTCAGGTGTGGAATCGAACGCAAGTGCGCCCCAGCTGGTCCAAGCAGCTCCAACTCCGACAAACACTCCGGTGATGCAGTCAATCGGCACGGGCAGCCCCGTGATGCAGTCTTTGGGTGCTGCCAGCCCCGTGATGCAGTCTTTGGGTGCCGCCAGCACACCTGTCATGCAATCCCAGTCCCCGATGGCGCAGTCTTTCGTGGTCGTGGGGACTCCACAGGCCCAGGCCCCAATGCTCACTTCCTTGCCAGCAGGTTCACCGGTTGCTTCGGGCTCCGCATTTGGTGTTCCGTCGGCGCTCCCTGCCACCAATGCCTCGATCCCATTGATGGATCCTGCGGCAGGTGCAACTCAGCAAGAGTCGGAGGTCAAGACGCAATCCAAGGACCTCAGGAAGCCAGGCAAGAAACCGAAGAAGGGAAAGAGCAAATTTGGCTGCTGCGGCTGCTGAGCGGCATCAGCGTCTCACCAACGCTCTTGTCGTTAATGGAAAGCTGCTAGAGCAAAGGAATGTGTTGAATCCAAACATCAGCCGCAAAGGCACTTCAAGGCTCCGACACTAGTACAGTAGAAACCAATGCCTGTGCAGGCATGCAGGGACCAAGCGCAGTTTGTGTGCATCGTGGGATTTCGTCCATGCTCGCTGTGCAAGCCTGCCAACCTCTCGCAAAGCTATATAAAAGGGGCGTGCTGCGGCAGGTGGATGCGGTTGTGCTTGGAGTGCAGGACAAACCTCACCCTGTGAAGCCTTTCCTGGGGCTTGTCGCCGTGGCTCAAGTCGAATGTCCGGAAGCGTCTGACGGCAAATTGAGGCCCAATGTGAATGAAACTTTGACTTTTTTGTGGGTCCTGTCAAAGATCGCTCGCAATCGGGGCAGTTTTGGCTTGCTGTTTCTGGGAGGCATGGAGGAGAGTTTGGGCCTGGTCTGGCGCTGAAGATGCATCGAGTCGTGTCTTTTGGCGGGGTGTTTGCGTGATCTCAGAGTGCCGGGACAGGTCTTAGCTGCTGCATCCCCCCTTCGAGATCGGAGCAATGAGGCTTGCCTGTTTCATGGTGAAGGATACTCTTAGCAAAACAGCGCAGAAAATATGCCAGGTGGAAACCTTTAAGACGCCAGGCAAGCGTCGAAGTCGTGGCGGCGAGGAGCGTTGATTCGTTGGTTTGCACACTTCCATCTTTGGGATGGGACAGGAGAGGCGCCGCCTGAGCAGGGACCTTGAAGAGCTGGAGGACGGCCGCAGGCGCTGGAACCCGGCTTTATGCCTCATGTGATCTCTGAGCTGCACCATTGCTTTCCGAACATTATCTATCAGCAGGCCATGCCTGCATTTCATTGGTGCTGTGCTGCGGGCTGCCATGCAAGTCCCTGTCTTCACCGTTGGTGAGCAAACTGCGAAGCTTAACAAAGCGAAGAAAGACGACTGTGACTTATACACTGCACGGGAAGATTTCCATCAAATCAGGAACTGATGCGAGGCTCGAAACAAGCGCCTCCGTGTGCCGTCTGTTGTCTTTGCGTGTTTTGTTTACCTGTGACGTATCATACTGTTTCGCAATGCCGCACACAGATTTCCGGGAGAGCCTTCTAGTCAGACTCAGCTTCCCACCATACTGCACGCCGCTTCGTGTATTCCGAGCTATCATCACTACAAGCATTCAGCATACTGCTTGCTTGAGAGCATTTGGTCGCGGACAGGTTTCGCATTGGAGGCGTCCCCAAAGAGCACCTCCGGGTCTCGGGGTTTGTGGGTACCTGGACTGAATCAAGGCTGTGATTGGAATTCTGAGTGGTTGGCCAGCAGCGGGTCAGTGCGGGGAATGTGGATAAGCAGCCAGCAGCGGTGAAAGAAGGTCTGGGGTGGGGGTTTATAATGCAGCGGCAACAATGTGGCCCTGCTTTATTCTATCGCCAGCCCATGCCCGAAATCCAGAGCGAACAGGCAGAATGGAAGTCTGGGCCGACACATTTTTTCGCTTCCGGTTTGAATTTGTTCTCTCTGTCTCTCTTCCTCCCTCTCTGTTTGTTACCTTATTCGGCGACAGTTTCGGCATCCAGTGTAGGCTTCCACGGAAAAGCCGATGTAAGCTGTGCCAGTGACAATGCAACAGGCCCGCTTTTGAGTCAGAGATGATGAGTTTCGCCGAGACCTCGTCATGTGGCAAACCATCACGACAAGTGTCAAATTGTTGCTTGCATGTCACTGTTGGTGTTTGGCAAGGATGAAATGCGTAAGCAGCCATGGTCTCGGCTTTTTCTACAGACCTCGACTGTCGACGGAAACAGGAGCACGATTGCCTTGCAACGGCCAAAGCGAAGGGGCATGCTGCAGCACAACGAAATGGGGTGGGGGCAGCGGGGGGGCGGGCAGGGACACGGGGTGATGGTTCTCAGGTTGAGCATGTGGCAGACGCACCTGTGCGAGCTGGCTGCCGAGCAGAAGGAAGCGGAGAAGCTCCGACAGGAGCTCTGCATTGAATCCTCAACGAAGGTTCGCTGGCCGCCAGCCGCTTGCGCTTGAGCAGGACACCTCCAGCCTGCGCAGCAAGCTCTCAAGCAGTGAGGCTGGAAAGCTGTGTCAATTTTCGTGCTTGGTCCGTTTGGACAGCACCAGAGCACGATTTCCAGCCGTCCTGATCGTCCTAGCCGAAACATCGAGCAGACGGTGTGAGAATTTGCACTGCGATGAGAGCCTTGCGACACATCTGCAGGCAGTTCAAAAACTTATCATCTAGAAC